CATTACAGGGAATGACTGAAATGCTTAGTCAATGTATGTCGGCGTCAAACGCTGAAATCCGTCATTCCCTGGAATGCCTAGTCAGTCCCCGTATTACCGGCAAACACCGTAAGAGTTTGATTATTACAACGTTTGACTGCACCAGAAGGGTTTATATCGCCATTATCATGAAATATATCATTCCCCTTGTTAATATGAGAAAGGGCTTAAAAATATACGTAGTACTATTTATCTCAAATATAGTGATTTTGTGGAGATGTGTGTGAAACGTGTTTACTGTTTTTGGCTTAATGCCACTTTGTTACATTTGTATTGTCTCGGATAAATCTGGATTTCAGTGCTCAAAACTGAGATACTCTCATCTCTGTTGAACAGCACTCATTACAAAAACAATTGATTTCGACGAAGAGTACCCCTAAAGGATGAGTCGGCCCCTCAAAGCAAAGCGCTCTAGATTAAAGTATCCAATTCAGAATTGAGCATGACGCTGAAGTGACAATAAAAAGGATGAAACCCTTGAGAATGAGTGCTCTACTCGAATGTACCCTTAAAGATCATCGCGTTCGGCCATAATTAGCATACTGTTTATTGGGGATGGATTTTATAAATTGCTGTTCGGTCTGGTACGACTCAAGATAATAGTCCAGTGAGAGTAGATAAGGGAAATTACACTGATTGTCGATTTACGTAGGTTTACTGCCTAGGCCTAGAGTCGGTTTGGGAGTTTTCTAAAACAGAAAAGTACTACGTCAAAAAAAAGCCGCAAAAAGGGTAAAATATGTTTGTGCAGATATACCAAAAAGGACTGAGAAATGTATTCTTTAAATTCCATGAGGCGCGTTTGAACAAACTAGGTCATAAGATACAATGTGATGAGACATTTTATATCTAAGGTGAGAATACAGCAGATCACAAGACATAATCTGATACAGAAGTTAAACCTAAAGCGCTAATGGATTAATCATTTATACAGCATCAAGTTCACATATTTTTCCAACACACAGACTGCTTTAAAAAAATGTCTTATAGAATCCTAGAAAGGCTGTGAACATCTGTCTTCCTTATAATAAATTTGTCTGTATTTTAATTACATGTATCTTATTCTGTAGTTATCATCCTTGCTGCTTAGCTTAAAAAGCCGTATGTATAATAAGCAATGTTTTTGTACACCATGTCAGTGTTTTCTCCAAAGCAAAGTGTATTGAAAACGATTTAGAAGAAAAATTTAAATTTCCACCAGCAACTATGAAATTACCATTTGAAAACAACAAATGCAATACAAACCGCCGTTTTCTTTCGGTGGCCATTGTAAAAATCCGCATTTTAGTACACCGTTTCCCATTATTTTCACATTCGTTCATAACACTCCTTCGGTATAATGGTAAATAACACGCATATGCTCCATAAACATCGATCGCCTGCAGACTACAGGGCGGTACCTAAGTGCGATAAAGTCATGTAATGTTTTAGTAAAAAACACACTGACCAATTCGGTGACCCTAGTTTTAATAATAATATCATGACATAGTTAAAAGATCATTAGATAGATGACAGGATCCTTTAGATAGGACAAAAGGGCTAATAAGCTCAAGTCTTCTTAATGCACTTGATCTGTCGACAATGATTGAAAGGCATTTCTTTTGTGGAATAAATACGATGGGTGTTGCCAAAAATAATTATGCAAGCTGAAATGCTAACTGGGCTTTTACTAAAGCTTGGGCTGCTTACTTGAAATCAATGAGGGTTCTAGGTAATACGAATCTGGAAAGTATCTTATAATAGTGAAAAAGATAATGATTGAATAAGCACCGATGCCACACAACAAACTAACAGACAGTGATCTAGATATGTATATATCCTATCAAATGAGACAATATCTTGTGTTTGATAATATGAATATAAGTAAGTTGCGCAGTGTTTTGTCTGTGTGTGATATACGAATCATTTGGATTTTTGTGTGTGAACGTGACCTACAAAACGTATTAAAATTTTGTTACTAAGCAACATCATGGCGAGTACATTTGCATGAACTATTGATCTTTGTCGCACTTAGACATACCGCCCTATGTAAACTCAAGTGCATTTACGTCCGCTAGATTTGATCGGGTGTAAACATCGTAATGTCAAGTGTGCTGTTTATGTTTTTATCGTAATCCGATCTAAAGTAAACTCAGGAGAGGTTGATTGATGGTTTGATTTGTATTTGTCTTGTGCAGACCAAATCAGCCTGACGTTTACGTAGAACACAGATGCCTGAGATACAGAATATCTAATTTTTGATCCAAAACATGCTTTATACCCTTAGTACAGGAAATTGGGTTTGGATAGCTTGTAAAATTTTTGGATGTGGTAATGACCCTGAATTTAAATAGCAATAGAATGTTTTTGAGGAAAGTATAAGGCTAGCCGTTAGCTGTTGTTTTTTATATATTGTGAAAGTTCTTGTTTATTTTTGTAAAGAAATAAGAAACACTCAGAAGTTGTTAAGAAATTGTCAACTACAGCAATCAATCTACATTCACTAAAAGTATAGTGATGGGGTGTCGCAGTAGGCAACCGCAGATTCTTTGAAAATTGGACCATTGCTCATAACTATTGTACGTTAAGACATATTGTCGATCATTCCGTTGCCTAAATATCAAGACACTCAAGAACTTGACAACATCAAAACGATAGGTGAAACAATGAGGGATAGAGAAAGGAAGAGAAGATATTCATGCACTGTTGAAACAAATGGTTTTGAATTACTAGAAATAGTTTTCGATGACAGTAATACTAAAATTATGTATTAGATTCAGTGTAAGTCAATCTGAGTGTCATTTCGTTGGTCTGATCACTCAGCAGTCTGACAAGGTAAATGAAAATAAATGACGAAATATAAAAGGAAGGAAGATTATAGTGAAATGAGGTAAGAAAACGGGAGAGGGAGAGATGAAAGACTAAGGGGTATATAACTTACGAGTATGGTCCTTGAGAAATCAGGAAAAAGTAAAGGAGAGGAATTTCACGTAAAAGGCAGAAACGAAGGAAACGTCTTGGAAATGTAGTCATCAGTCTTGCTGCTCTACATATGAACACCAAAGTAGGATTTTTAAGCGATTTATCATTGCAGGCATTGGTGATCTATATCAAATTTTACATTAAAGTTTATTTTTGAGAAGAGAAAATGATACGGAAGAGGATGAGCAAAGTCGAAGAGCAATTCTTAGAGCTTGGAGATGTTTTGGGAACTGCTAAAATAAGTGGTATAATTCTTGTTCTCTAAAGAGACTTAGCCGTCAGTAAACCTAATGTCCCAGAATCGTATTAGTTCTACTATTAATAGTTGTAGAATGAAAAAGTGGTTCAAAGTATCTTTGACTATTTCTGGAAAGGATTAATGAGGGAATAATGAAGAAGAAGAAAAACAAGCAACGAAAAAAGTAACAGTTGGAGTCTGAGATGCCTGGCAAGACAAGTAAGGAGTATAATGGCACGGTCGCTGGGTTTTGGCTTGGTATAAAGAAGAAGTTACAAAGAAAAAACAATAAGCGTATAAGAAATAAATAAGAAGTAACTTCTAAAACATTGTTGACATCACAGGAATTATACTTATTATCCAAAAACAATTATAGCTAAAATGCTAAATTGAGTTGTAGGAATCGCTTTTTCCTAAAGCGGAAAAGACAAATTGTTCAGGCATGGGATTCAGATATGGTCGGAAACAAAGACTAAGACATCAAAAAATGAAGAAAGAGAAAAATCCAAGTACAACTGTTAAAAAAGGCATTTAAGCATCAAGTTACTAAAATAATTTTGTTTCATAGCTCTCTGCTCTCCTGAACTGTACTTGATAACCTCCAATTCCAGACTGATAGGTAAGAGAATTGAGTTGTAAAAGGGCGCTTTTTTCACACGATCCTCAAAATGTAAACGACAGTTTCCTCCGGCATCCGGCACCCAGATAACACTTCCTCCTTTGGCGGCGGCCAGATCAGATCCTCCGTCGTAATCGAGGGCGGCGATGTTTCAGGCGTTACTCGGGGCATGGCGGCCGAGAGCGGCGTGGACCTGTGCTTTTGCTCAGCGCGTTTGCGAAATGGGATCGATCCGTTGCCAGGGGCGGCGATTGAGAGCAAAGGGCGGCAAACCCGCTGTTCGGACAGCGTCTGAAGACGTCTGTAGGTCAGCAAGGTGGACACCCCTCATTGCGAGCTTGCCATCTAATTCAATATATTTATTCCAACCTCTGATTGCAATTTATTTGATAAGGAAAATGTAATGTAATCAGTATAGGTAAATTGCTAGAGGGATCCTGAAACAGTGTTTTGGATCATCAGTTACTTGCAGATGCTTTTGATCTCGAATTGTAAATGACCAACATTCTTTTTGATTCAACAAATGTAGGTAACTAGAAAAATGTGTTCTACCTATTTTCACAATTAACTATTCTCGTTGAACCATTTGTTTTTATCAAGTGGCTACGATTTTTCCGGTCCAATATCCTGTTTTCTAACAGTGCCATAAAAACTATTCAATAAACACTGTTAAATATAAAAAACTGATATTATTCTCGATATTGCAACGAAGATGGAATTCCTGCAAGTGGTTAATGTATCTTATCCAATAAATAACAATGCTAGGTTACGATAAATATACTGAAATAGAGATATGTGTTTAAAAACTTCGAGACACGATAATTATCTATATTTTTGAAATCTGAAATATTGCATTAAGGGTATAAAACAAAGGTGAAGTCCTTTCCCAATCTGATTGCCGGTCTGATAATACTTATCAACATCTGTTAAGAAAAAAATGTTTGAAAATTACTTGAGTGATTGTTGATGTATAGGATACGTTTTGCAATATTAAACTTAATAAAATAATCAGTTCTGACTACTATTCACAGGAAATTAATGTACATTTGAGACTTGGAGATACTACTTCCCAGTGATTTTTGTTTCTCACTTATAATTTATATGCATGAATTTTTGAATGACAGTTGAGTCAGATAAATATTTTTACATTTGTTTTATAGCATGCAAAATCTCAGCCACCAAATAATCCTTATCGGTCTTCAACGCTTTCAGGTCTCTATTTGCTTGACTATAACCGATCGTCAGGTCATTTTTGAAGGGTGAGCAGGATCCTAGACGAAGTTGATGAAATATGAAAACAATATCATTTCATAGAATTGATAGAGAGTGCTTGCGATATAAAAATTGTGATGAATTGTCTCACTCATTGTTACTCACTAATATCTGATCCATCGGAATAACTTTCTCCGTACTGAAACATGAAGTCTCTACGTACGATAGAGTCTATATAGACGGATATGTACCACTCACTAATCTTGCTAGTAAGCTCATATTCACTTCATGTCAAATTTGCTCCGCAAGAGTAGAGGTAGATAGTTTAATTGTGAATAATATCAAAAAAGGCGTAGAACTCCCGTTGTATAATTAATCCTATTTCTCCCTCAACTTTTATCAAAGATATTAATATACCCATAATAATTGTTTATCATTTATTATACCATATTCTGTCATTGAGGATCCCGGTCACCCTTTTAACATTGTATGTTTATCAAGAAATGTAAGTAGGAACATTATGTCCTATGGTTTGGGACGTGCATTAAACTCACCTCCGTAGTTTGGTCTTACTCTTTTGTCGTAGCTGGCGCTGAAAGAGTCCAATATCGCCGAGACGTTGACATCACCTAAGTAGCTCCCTCCCCCTGGTGTTCTGGAATTGAAACACAATACTGTTCAAGGCTCTTTATAGATTTGTACAAATTTAATCGTCATATCAGACTTAACAAAATCTTTATTTGATTCAGAACGTTTGAAGTGTTTTCGTCTGCTATTCCTGCTGTTACTCTAAGGCACAATGAACGGTTGTATTTTGATTAAAATACAGACGCCTGTTCTGGTCGTGGATGCCTGTCCAGATAATTTATTTTTTCTCAGAGAAGCATCATTATCAGGTCGGATGAATTTAAATTGCTTTCATAATTTTTTGCTTGATTTAGCATTTTCTTCTTCCTCAAATATATGATTGCTCCAAGTGAGGAACAAAATGGAAAAACGTATTTTGACGCAACACTAGTTTTTCATGGGCCAGAGGAGCCTAGTACTAAAAAATTGCCATAAACAGAAGCTTACATGTTACTGGTTGTACTGTTATGTGGCATCAACACAGTCACCATGGCTATGGCTATGCTGCGGGTTGGAAAATAAGTACCATGTTCAAATTCACAGGCGTTGAGAATATGAAACTGTTGTCTATAATGAACCTCATCGAGGAGACAGGCTTAGATAATAATTCTCAATACGCTTACATATCGATGGATGAAAATCGCAATTAAAGTAAATATCGCCATATCTTTTTCCACGTCACCATCTTCTGTGTCCGTCAACCAACCCTCGATGGATTCTTCAGAAAATATCTTCCTCAAAACATCATATCGTTAACAGCTTTCAGGAAATATCGTATGCATTGATAAGTGTGAGCATAGTTAACTTTCCCATAGACAACTGAATGTCAAGGGAGAAAACAGAGTCTGACAGGTGCATAAGTGTATAGACTGTAATTAAGTATAAATTGAACTGATTAAAGTTGAAATCATGAGAGAGAAAATTATTGTTTCACAAATCCATCCCCGATGTGTGCTCCAGAATAGGTGTTTTCTGGAACATTATACATGTAAACAACACAGAGAGTGGCTTCACTACTCTCTTCCTCCTTGAATACGCTTCAGTAACAGTATTACTTTTTTCTGAAACATCGTACGATAGGTAGGCGTGCGCGTGGAGAACTTTTTTATACACAATGAAAGTTTAGAGAACAGAAGAGAGATATATGGACATATAGATTTGTAAATACAGACCCAAGTCAAATCATAAGAAGGATCCATCCCCGCCAGTTGTTCCAGAAAATGTTTTTCGCATCATCGTAGGTGTAGGCGTAAAACATTTTTCCATAAAACATTGACTTCAACATCCTTGTGCCCATTGAATACACTCCTGCAGTTTGTCCCAGAGAATATTTCTGTTTCCCGAACATTGTATGCATCGATAAGCTTGAGCGTGGACAACTTAATAAAATTTTAGAGAACAGAGTCTGGCAGATGTATGTATCAATGTACAAACACCGGTAACTTCACCATCCCTTTTCCACTTGAGTATATCCCTGTGGAATGTCCCAGAGAACAAAATTTTGGAAACTTGACGAACAGAACAGAATATGACAGATATACTAATATAATAGATTGGATAATCTAGAACCAAATTAAACAAAGTTGAAACAGTTGGAGAGGAATTAGCAAATTGCTTTTTTCATCATAGATGTAGGCGTAAAGACTTTCTCATAGACATGACGGTAACTTCACGATGGCCTTCCCTCTCATACACAATGAAACATCATAAAACCAAACAGTCAGTATGGCAGATAATATTTATTCACTCAATGTACAAAAAAAGGAACTTGAATAAATAAATATAAAATAAAAACTGGCATAGGAAGCATTGTGCGTGCAGCAATAATTTCATGCTGTAGTTGTAGAATACAAATAAGAAAATGAGCTGAGTACAAGTCATAAGTATAAATTTACTTGATGTTTGCAGTTCTTTTAAATTAATGAATGTTGGCTCTTGGTGTAGAATATACCCACTGTTTAACTTTTCTTTAAATAGTTTTCGAAATGCGAATCTTTTGAATTTTTAGGTAGAATTTGTTGCTAAATAGAGGTACGGCCTCTCTATCATAGATTTAAGTGTGTGTATATTGATTATGTTTAATTGTTTGATCGGTGTTGACATATTTATGATAGTGATTGATAGTGTACAAGGAATAGACTTGTTTTATATTTGTATATCTGAGTATAATTCGTTTGTGGGACAAAGCTTAATTTTTTTGAATATTAGTTTTAGAAAAGTTTTTTGAAAAATACCCAAATTATAAATATGTGATCAATATGCAGATCCTGATGTTAATATACAAATACTTTATATGAGATGACGTTCAATCAGCGTATGGGATAAGGTAGGAAGATGTCTTTCGGTTAGAATATTCTATATATTAAACATACTTTTGTACGAAACAAATCTAACTTTCTTTAAAATATAATTGACATGGATGTACTAACGTAAATGTGGATCTACAATTATTCCAAGGTATTTTGTATTTGGCACTCTATTGATTTGTAGGTTTTGTAGTCTGGTAAATATCTAACTTAAGATGGAAATGTCAAAAAATGTATTTTAGAATAGTTAATGTTCAATTATCTGATGTTGAACCACTGAATAATTTTGACAAAACGATGTTAAATTATGTTTTCCAGATAAGAGGTCATTACCTTTATATAATACTGAAGTATCATTTGCGGGACTGGTTAGTTTGCCAACACAATTAATTTGAAAAATATCATTTAAATATATACTCGTATATATATATATATACCTATATATATATATATATACAGTGCTTTTCTTTAATGTCCCCTCCCCGAAAACTAAATAAGAATATTTTAACTGTACAATGATGTTTGTTTTCGTACTGGTATTCTTGTCACTGTCAACAAAAAATAACAAAATAAGTTTTTATCGCTGTTTCTGTGGATACTGCAGGGAATTACAATTATTTGTAGAGATATGCATGTTAGTGGGTTTGTGTTCGAGTAATTATTAAATGTACCACCATTTTGCAGTAGGTAAAGGTATTGACTCTATATTCTAGGGTTATAAAGCACTCGTCAGGAGCTTCAAGACTTCAAGCACGGCATATATATATATATATATATAGGTGAAAATTAAAGCTTCCGCCTTTTGTTCATCATCAGGAGCTGCAATTACATTGATAAAAGTAGCAACAATTGTGTAGAATGAATTTAAATTAACTTACAGTAGTATGTGAGGATGTTGCTAAATGTTACTTACGTCAAGGATTGAAAGCTAGAGAGATTAAAAAAGTATAAAGAGTCCTTCTTGCTTAAATTTTGTCGAAGTACCCAATAAAAGGCGGAAGCTTTAATTCTCACCTAACTGGTCTAGACGACAATGACCACGATATATATATATATATATAAAAATAATGGGCAAAATCCGCAAAAAGTGGATTCGAGCAGAAAATAGGATAGGTAACCCGAGCGATACGTATTTCTGCTGGTTGGCTTCATCAGGCCCGAAATGAATGCACATATGCAACTACAAAAGTAGATACACATGCCCACACATCCGGATACGGGTGTAACCTGAGGAAACGAAGATGGAGAGGAAAAAAAGACACACGAAGTCCACAACAAGAGCCAACTTACACATTGTAGTATAAAATGGCTAGAAGATCTCGAATTTTCAAGGCGACAAATAACCACAACCACGCGGCCGATTATAGCCACTTGCTGTGGTACTTCAAGCCCAAAGGATCTACAAAGAGAAAATTATCATGCGGAGAAAGGTACATAACAAAAATAGGAAAACAATGAGCAAAATCCGCAAAAAGTGGATTCGAGCAGAAAATAGGATAGGTAACCCGAACGATACGTATTTCTGCTGGTTGGCTTCATCAGGCCCGAAATGAATGCACATATGCAACTACAAAAGTAGATACACATGCCCACACATCCGGATACGGGTGTAACCTGAGGAAACGAAGATGGAGAGGAAAAAAGAAACACGAAGTCCACAACAAGAGCCAACCTCTGAAATCCGTCTTCTTTCCTTTTAGATTAATTCATGCTTGATTACTTTTCTTTTAATATTATTGATAAAGTAGTACCTTGTTATATTATGTACTGCTTTGAAGCAACACGTTTGACTAAAATAGACGAATGCAGTAACGAAATTATTGTGGTTGTCACGGTGTTTGACTGAAATTGTTCAGTCAATACAGGGAATGACTGAAATACTTTGTCAAACGTTATAATAATCAAACTGTGACGGTGTTTGCCGGCAATACGGGGACTGACTAGGCATTTCAGGGAATCACAGAATTCAGCGTTTGACGCCGACATATATATTATCTTTCGAACACATTACCTATTCAGTGGTATTTGGATTTCTCTGTATATTGAATAATAGTTCAACCCCCCCCCCTTTCCCCTGTATCCCCCTATAGCCCCCGGTACCCAATGGGTGTTTAGGCCTTAGGCCTTCGTGGTAGTTGGAGTATAAAAAAAAACCTATGAGTGAATCTGTATAGATGTAGAGATCGATAAATGTAGGCTAAGCCAAGTCGGACCATAGCAGGTGTGAGTATACACAATTTTTCTATAAGTACCGGTGACTTCACCATCCCTTTCCCCCTTGAACACACCCCTGTAGTTTGTCGCAGAGAATTCTTCTTTTTTCCGAAACACGTATACATCGGTAGGTGTAGGCGTGGACAACTTTCTCATACACAATAAAAGTTTAGAAAACAGTGTGGCAGACCGGACTGACGGTTCAACTCTCATATGTTATTCAGTGCTCATGAATGGTGATTTGTTCATTTAAAAGTGGGCTGCTACCCTTTCTGTTTGCTCTTTCGGCCGCGTTTGGTTGCTGTACGGATACGTGGAAAATGTTTCATCACATGTTTCATCTGTGAATGCTACTCCAGTAATTTTAGCATTTATCTACTAGTCATTGCTGGTGGAAGAGTTATTTAAGGTCTTAGTACAGTTTTGCTTAAATACTTCACTTATTCATGATTGGATATTTTAGTTAAGGTCAAAGCTTTGTTTGAAATGTCTTCTATCCCCAATACGA